GTAGGGAAACAGCAGGAGCAGGGGCACGCCGGAAACTAGATCTTCTGGGGCAAAAGCCAGGGAGGACCGAGGCTGTTCTGCGTCTGTGTGTTTGCAAGAAGGAAAAAGGAAGCGATGAGCCAACTGGACTAATGTGAACAAACATCAATTAGCGTCTGCAGGCTCCGACACAATAAAAATGGCTCCCTTGCATCATCTCAACTGGGGCCAGATTTGTGTGTCTGTGTCTGCAAATCTCTGCTAACATAACATAGATAAAAATCAAAGTCTTTCCCTCCTTCCTTGGTGAACTCCTGTTTGTATCAGGGATTCAGGGGATCTTTTTAAACAAACAAGTCAGAACGTAATGGGTCACCCCATGAGAAACTGAGCCTAACTTATCTGAAGCTCATGTTGAGCTCAAGACTTCTATGGCCTCTCATCTTGCCACTGAGGTGACCTTGAGACTCTCCTAAACCTTTCTTTCCAGGGAAGCGTGAGATTTGCTACCTGTGTGGTCAGAGCCACACAGCTCAGCTCGTGGAAAGGGCAGGCAGGTGAAGATTGTTTGTGTTCTTCACAAGCCTGCTTTCAATCTTTCTAGCTGCTTCATCTTTCCCTGGGGGCGAGAAGAGAGCAGGGTGGAGATGGGGGAGCAGAGAAGCATTTGGATTCCTTTGTTTATACACTGGTGGTGTAATTTTTTTCCCTAGTTACTGGGGCAATATATGAATTCAACACAAAAACTGGAGCCAGAAAGTGGAAAGATCCCTTAACCCAAATGCCAAAATGGAAGGAGTCCAGCCCTCAGGGAGCTGCTCCAAGAAGACCTGTCACTGGGGAAGGGACCGGGCCACTAAGGAGCACCCGCAACGAAGGAGATGGGCTGAGAGACAAAGCACAGGCCAAGAATATAGTCCCATGGTCCAGGAACCAGGACAGCAAGCCAAGCACCCCAAAGAACAGAAACTCAGCCCTTACGGGTGGGGGATCCCCCAAACCGCACCCAGAAAAGTGAACGGTGTCTGGCTGCCTGGCCCACAGCACAGCACAGGGAGGGAGCTTGACTGTCTGGGACGCTGCCTTACCCTACATTCCTCGAGGGCAGGGTGGGGGTGGAGGGCTGAAAATGTGGAGGATCCAGGGTCCCAGGTGGAATGTTTGACAGACTTTAAAATGAAGGGGTTTGATCTCAGAGTTGCCTTTTTCTGAGACAGCCCAGGAGAGATTTTGCCCTGGCCTCAGTACCTCTGATCAGCTGGACTGCTAACTGGTGGGTGTGGACTTGTGTTTCTTCTTCACATTGACCTCCAGGAAGCTCTGTTCCGTTCGCCCCCAGGAAGTGCACGAGACCTCCTGCCTAAATTCTGAGGACTACCCTCCCACCTGGTTTCACCTTATTTTCCTGCCTTTATTTTAGCGTCACCCAGATTTCTTCACTTACAGTTCAACACCGTATACCATTGTAAGTCACATCTAATCTTTTTCAAAAGAGGCAGAGCAGTGGGGAAAAAAGGATGAATAATGAGTTGTTCACCTGGGAAGAAGAAAACACACTAAATACCTTTAATTCTTTTTCATTAAGGTAAAACTGATAATGCAATAAAGCGCACAGATCAAAGGCATTCAGCTCAGTACTATGTAGACTCTTCCCTGATGCAACAAATATTCAGGTCTTTATTGTCACGGATTACTTTTGCCTTTTTGAAATTTCCTATAAATGGAAAAAGAGCTCCCCATTTCTTTTGTATCTGGCTCCTTTGGCTGAGCACCATGTCTGTGAGATTCACCCAGCTGTACTGTGAACCAGTCATGCAGGGCTCGTCACTGTGTCTCTTATCCCACTGAGGGAATCTACCACATGTCATTTATCCATTCCACACTTGGGTAGCTGCTCCAAGTTTTTTACTATTATAAGGTATAGCACTGTGTACTTCCTTGTACATGTCTTTCCATAGCATAAACACGTGTTTCTTCTGAGCCTACTCCTAGGAGTGGGACTGCAAGAGCCATTGCTGGAATCTGCTGAGAATTTTGAAGTTGGTGGCTCCAACTTATGCTTTCAACGATGGAGAGTTCTGACTGCTTTACTCCCTTGTCAACACTTGGTGTTGTCAGTCCTTTTCATTTTAGCCATCCTGGTGAAAATTCCTCTTGAACTAAAGTCACTGTTTTTCTCAAAGCTAAAACAACACCAGCCCTACAACCTACCTGCCCGCTCCTTCCCTATCTTCTGTGATTGGTGGAGGGGGGAACCACAGGACTCAGAGCAGAGACACAGTGGGAAGCTCTAGCCATTCATACAGCTGGGACTTTCACCTGTGGCCACAAGCAGAGACCTGAAAATAAATCTCTCTGCAATGCAACAGGAAATGGAAATTTTCAGTGCGTGCCTGGTGAAGGCCAAGCAATCCTCACCTTTGCTCCATGTCCTGCTCCCCAGCTGCTGGGCCCCTAGTCCAGTAACCAGAAGAAAAGATCAGATGAGAGTCTACTGGAGCAGCACCCCGTTTCCCAGTTGGAGAGCCAGATGAGAACTCTCCAGGCCCAGGATGGCCTGTAGAGGGCAGGCAGGATCCATCCTGCAAATGCAGAACTTCGGAGGGAGGAGGGGCCCGTTTTATTGTGTGCCCCTGCGTCCGTGTGACTTCTCAAGAAAAAGGAACAGTTTTAAAATGCCCTGTCCTGGCCTAGAGCAAGCGCGATTTATTAATAAGGCTTGATTGCCAGGGAACTCCCTTGAATAGGTTTAAATTTTGCAAAGAAGGCAGAGCTGCTCATTTGTGGAGGTTAAAGTGGGTGAAGTGGCTGACTACCCATTTAAGACTCTGCAAGTCTGTGGAGCCCCGGGTAAAAGACCTTCCTCAGAAGCTCTCAGCCTCAATGCAAGTAAAATGAGGCTCCAAGAAGGCTGAAGGGGATGCCTGATAACTGTTTATGAGCCCATTAAGGATGATTAAAAGGAGGGCGGTGAACAGCTGTTATCCCTTCTCTGGTGATGACAGGGCAGGAGGGGATCATGCTTCTCGGCCAGAAAAACAGATTTAAGTTAGGCACAGGGAGGGACTTCCCGAAGGCTGGGGTCTGTTTGAAGAGTCAGTTCTTTCCCTGGTGATGGGCAGGAAGAGCTGATTATCTTCCAAACCCCAAGATGTGAACCTCGAGGAACCCAAGACATGGGTCAGGAGTGGTACCAGGAAGCTTCGAAACCTCCTTTTCTTTTTGCATATTTGACTATTTGATCAGGGGAAATCAGAAATCTCAGGTCCAGGGCTGAGGCCATTTGGTTTCTAACATTTACCAGGTTTCAAAAATAAATTATCTGAATAAAATCAAGCCAGGGACCATTGGGGACCTTGTAAAAGTTTTCTCACATTTCTCTCCCAAGGCCTTAATCATGTATGAATTTATTGTAGCTAATGTTGACTTGCCTGATCCTGAGTCATTAAAAATTAAAGCAAAGATGTTCAGGGATCAGGCCACGGAGCGGTCCACTGTTGAAGCCCATGGTGGATTCTTAAGTTTGAGCTTTCCCTGTGCTCAGCAGG